TGCCTACCAACTAGGTAACATCATCAAGGCTAGAAAGGACTGGTGTTAGGCTCCCTTCTACCACTGATGAGGTTACCTAGTTGGGTAATGAAATGTCTGCAGGAAATCAACCAAGCTCAGAGAGTACCACGGCCCCCTGTGTCCTCTGGGATAATTTATGTAAGGTGCACATGAGGTTCAACCAAGGTGAGGGAAAAGATCTACTTCATTGTACCAAATCTTTAATGAAATCTTGATTAAGTCATCTGCCATCTATTTTGCCTTGCATCTTCTGTGTGATCCATATGCATACAATATAAATTGCAACCGGTTCTTGTGTTTGGAGACGTTGGTTTTCCCTTCCAATCTAGCGGAAATATACCTTTTGTGGAAGGTTATTTAGTTAATGGTAAATGTGTGGAGCTCTAAAGAATAGCTCCACGCTGACAGTTCTGCAATTAACTTTTGTCAACGGCACTGTAGTGTGTAGCTGTTCAGTAGGCAACATGCACATAAATAATACGTGACATTCAAGCTTTGTAAAATGAAATGTTATTGACACGCTTGGAAGATGTCCATGTACGAGATTTTGCTTTTACAAGATTTGCCATACAATAAAGCTAGCGAGGAAATAAGGGGAGGGAGGGAGGGAGGCAGTATGTCTGTGGTGCAAACTGCATTAAATGCAAAAATTCAACTGTGTGACATTAAATTACATCTTAATGAAATTATACAAATGGCCTTTGTGCTTGGTAAACGAAGCCAGTCCGCCCAGTTGTAGCCTGTGCTTTTTTGTGCAGGAGGCGGGTATGAAACCTAGATTCATGAATAGCATGAATAGATTCATGCTATTAAATTTGCAAAGGGGGTTCTAGGTTTTGGCAGCAAAGCCTCATTTTATTTCACTAAGTGTTCTTCATTGTACAGAAAGTTGCGTGGAAGACTGCAGACTAAAACCAGATCTCTTTTCAATTCTCTGAAAATTTAAATTAACGAGCTTCACATCTAGAATTCCCTTTATTTTATGTTCTGCAGTATTATCAATGCTATCTTCACCTGCCCTGAACTCTTACTCTTACTTAAGAATGAGATTAAGCAGTGCTCAAATTAGTTTATTGTCCGGTAATAAATGTTTTCTGCAGAACTACTATGCAGATTGTAAAAAGTCTCTGTGAATGTTCTCTAATTTTTAATCAACTTGCTTGATCCTTCAGATAACTTAAACTAAGAACTAAAAACTCCTGGAGTGGGGCATATTACAAAAACTAATAAATACACAGAATTGTGATTTAGATAAAGTGTGGGCATCAAAAAAGGTCATAGTCATTGTTTAAAGATAGTTCTTATACCATCTCTTGTACCAAAACCTCAAACAGAAGTCTTGAACTCATGTAAAGCAAGAGGCCATAAAACCCTCAGAAGATCTTCTTGTGGGTTCAGTGCTTTACTTATTAGAGAAGAAGGACTACGACAACATAACTCTTTGTCACATATGTAATGTATTTACTCACCCTTTAAGTCAACGTAAGCCAAAGACCTCTGATTCCAGTAATGTGTGACCACACCAGGTGGCAGCCTCCATCTGTCCTTCGTTGATTTCAAACTGGATAGAGTTAGATCTCTTGAGTGGAAGATCTTAAGAAAATCTTGGGATTGAGTATATTTTTACAAATGCAAGTGAAAAGCCATGACAAAGCACTTCCATGTTGTTGCATAATTGTGTCTAATGGAGTCACCAGGGTTAAGCTCAACTCAAAGGAATCTTATCTTTTTATTGTCTTCAAATGTGTCTCCGCAACATTTCATCGCATTCTGTTCCAGACGCTCCCCTGACTTTCAAGAGCAGATTTATTTTAGGCAATTGTATTAATGGAGTACAATTAATGAGCTTTTTTTTCCCCCCAAGAAAAATAGTAGAACAGTCTGCCTGCAGAAATCTGCTGGAGGTACAACAAAGGGGAAATCAGCTGTCCATTTGTTTTATGATTCTTTTTCCACTACATTTGCAGAAATGTGGTGTTTGAGTGATTTTTAAGGGGAAGTAAATAAAAGCTGAAAAGTATATACCCTCTGATGCGCAATCTGTCTCAAAGTTTTGCTTCTTTGATGGAAATGTTGCAGGCCATTAGTCCAGTGTGAAGAGGGAGCCTTGGGAGGTTTTATGAAAAATGACTGTGTACACAAAGCATATGGGTGACTGAGCGATTTTTTATACACTCCAAAATATTTCTATTTTAAAAAAAACACCCTCACAAGTTATTCGGATTACTTGGTGCAAGATAAGTTCTTGGATCGTCTTTTCTCAACCTGTTTCCCTCTCAAGAGTTTTGTATTAGAAATTGGACGCGCTGGCTAAGGCTTCTGAAAGTTATATTTTAACACATTTGAGGATGGGGAAGGCTGAGCTAAAAGTTGCATTTGAAACAAGCATGACCATGCTTGCTAGATACAGGTAGACCTTGATTTACGACTGGAATTGGGACTGAAATTTCCATTGCTAATCAAGGCAGTTGTTAAGTGAGTTGTACCTGCAAACCATTTTTATTTGTTTGTTTTTTGTAAACCTCAGTGCCAGCAAACCTTTTCTGCCACCAGTTGTTAAGCATTGAACTGCAATTGTTAAGTGACTCACACGGTTGTTAAGCAAATCTGGTTTCCCCATTAACTCTGCTTGTGAGAAGCTGGCTGGGAAGGTCTCAAATAGTGATCACGTGACTCAGGGATACTGCAATCATCATAAATACATGTCCACTGTCATCAGCCCAAATTGTCATCACTTGCCACAATGATTGTAAATGCGAGGACCAGTCAAAAGTCACTTTCTTCCAGTGCTGTTGTAACTTTGAATAGTGGCTAAATGAATGCTTGTCAGTCAGGGGCTGCCTGTATACACAATTTCTTGTTTGTTCGCATGTTCGTGCAATGGGTTGGAAGAAGGGTTGCCTTATATTTGAAGTAGTAGGGCTATTCTGGCTTTGGAAAATTTGAAGAAGGAGAACATGCCACCACGAGTTGGTCATTCAAGATATTTCCTTGCTATAAGGAGGTTAAATCTGTCCTTTGCCATTGTGTGTAGGAAATCTTCAACTTTATTTTTTATTTTTATTTATTTGTCAAACATGTGTAAGATAACAGATATAAGTATAAACATAATTAGGAATACAGGATAAGAATACAAATACATGGAGACAGTAGGACAGGGATGGTAGGCACGCTGGTGCTCTTATGCATGCCCCTTACAGACCTCTTAGGAATGGGGTGAGGTCAACAGTAGGCAGTACTAAGGCTAAAGTTATGGGGGTTTGGGGATGTAACAACAGAGTCAGGTAGTGCATTCCAGGCATTGACCACTCTGTTGCTGAAGTCATATTTTCTGCAATCGAGTTTGGAGCGGTTTACCTTAAGCTTGTATCTATTGCATGCTCGTGTATTATTGCGGTTGAAGCTGAAGTAGTCATTGACATATAGGACATTGTAGCAGATAATTTTGTATACTACGCTTAGGTCAGACCGAAGGTGGTATAGTTCTAAATTGTCTAAGCCCAAAATTTCAAGGCTGGTGACATAAGGTATTCTGTTGCGAATAGAGGAGTGGAGGACTCTTCTCATGAAACAACTCTGGACTCGCTCAATTATATTAATGTCTGATATACAGCGCAGGTTCCAGGCAGATGAGCTGTATTCGAGAATTGGTCTAGCAAAGGTTTTGTATGCCCTAGTACAATATTACCAGAGAAGAAGCTTCTCCTTGTTCTTCTGCTGAACAATGGTAGCAAGAGATCCTGAACTGTCAAATAAAGAACAAAGCCAGAGAAATGAGATGAAGAAACATGCAAGAAACGATAGAACAGCTGGATACAAGTTTAGCAAGGGGAAAGCTGGAGAATTTTGCCTGTTGTACGTATTGAAGCAATGCCAAACTTTAATTCTCAGACTGCCTATTGGGTTGGGTACTTCTCTATGAAAAAAACACTCCGGGATGGGAAAGCAAGGCATACAAAAATTCATAGGTTGAGAGAAAAGTTGTTAGAAAAGAAATACCATATTTTACATATATTTTTAAATATACTGTACATGTAGGAGAAAACGCAAAGCAATGTAAAGTGTATTGTGTGTGCTTCTTTACAATGGCAAAGCATTCAATGGGATTATGGTGAATAAAATGATGTGTGCAATAATACAAGGAAGAAAATGATCTGTCCCTTGCTAACTGGAAATAAGAAATATTCTGTTCCACATCCACCCCACTCCTTTCTCTTTCCTTAGCCAAGTCTCTTTGGGGCAACTTTATCTGGTTTAACGGATGTCTTGTCAGAGTTATGGAGATAAATTGCTCAAAATTTGCTTGGATGTCTTGGAATATAGTTAGATGAGCTCCAGGGAATTGGTACCGGTCCTAGGAAGGCAGCTACTCTACAATTTGTGCAACATGCTGGATAAATTCTCTGATTAGCACTTCACTTTAGGTACATAAAAGGGTATAAAAGTGTCAGCTCCTTGCTGAAGCGTTGATTAATTCCTGCATTAGGTGTGGGCTTGCATAATGCTTGGAGAATGGGATCCTTTCAGTGTTTCAACTAAAGTGGTAGCAGAATTTCATTTTCTGAAGCCAAAACCCCCACTCTGTGGCACTGACTCCATCCGAAAAAGGTTCTTCTTGGCTATTTTGGAAGATCCATTAAAAAAAAAAGTCCATCTTAAAAATAAAGTGAGTGAGAGAAGATTGTGCTACGAATAAAAATAGTGTGTTATGTCTTTTCTTCTAAATTGAGATTCCTGTTGGGTCTCTACGGTTCTGAGGCTGTGGGGTATCATTCTGGAAGAACCCATCCAAGTTTTATGACCTGTGTAACATTTTTCAGCTATCTCCTAATTTACCTATTATATCTGCTAGAAATAAAATATTCTAAGCATATTATAGCCCAGAGTATGTGTGATTTTTGCAGATCTACAACATTCTAGTTGAATTATTTATTCCCTTGTTTTTTCTCCCCCCCCCCCTATCTTTTCTCCCTCTCCAGGCTGTGGAAACTAATCTGGCTTCTAAAGATAGTCACTGGGTCTACGTAAATGAGGTAAGAAAATTATGCATCAATGGTTTCTTTTATGCGTCCATGGTTTCTTTTCTCCATCCATCTAAATCAGGGGTCTCCAAACTTGGCAACTTTAAGACTTGTGGACTTCAATTTCCAGAATTCCTCAGCCAGCTTTGCTGGGAGTTGAAGTCCACAAGTCTTAAAGTTGCCATGTTTGGAGATCCCTGATCTAATTGTTTCCGGCCAAGTATTTCTTCAGTTTTGCTGGCAGCAAACTAATTGATACTTTCCATAGTGACCTCAGTTCTCCACCCACTTCTCCAAATCGTAGCATATCCATTTTGAGCTCTGAGTAGATGAGATAGAATCACCATGTCCCATGAATCTCCCATGTATGTCATTGGAGGCTGAATCTCCTACCTGAAATCTGGCTGGTGGAGAAGCTGTATGAAGAAGCCCCACCTATCTGAGGTACAATATGATGGGAGTTGAAATGAGCATTGTCTGTTAGAGTTCTCCTTTGGTAGAACTGAAATAAGTTTGTTTTTTTTTTAATTTCCAGAAATAAGAGTTATGAGCTTGTTGTTGTTGTTGTTGAGAAGATCTGTGAATGTGTGATTCTTTAGAACTATTAATCAGTGGAGCAGCTTGCCTTCAGAAGTTGTGAGTGCTCCATTACTGAAGGTTTTCAAGAAGAGATTGGGCAGACATTTCTCTGAAATGGTATAGAGCAGTGATGGCTAACCTTTTTGCCATTGCATGACAGGAGGGAGGCGGGAGGTCGCGCACGTACGTACACCTATAATTCTATGTGTCCCGCCCCCGTGTATGTGCGTGTGACCCTCCCTCACTCCCCCCGCTCCTAGCAAGTGATGGCCAGGTAGGCCCGTTTTTCTCTCTCACCTGGCTCCAGAGCCTCTCTAGGAGTCTGGGGAGGGTGAAAACGGCCTTCCCCACCCACCCCCAGAGGTCCTCCAGAGACTGAAAACAGCCCGTTTGCCAACTTCCAGTCCCACCGGATGTTGGCAAACAGGCTGTTTCTGGCCTCTGGAGGGCCTCCGGGGGTGGGGAGGCCATTTTCGCCCTCCCCAGACTCCTAGAAAGGCTCTGGAGCCAGGTGAGAGAGAAAAATGGGTCTTCCCCACCCCACCCCACCCGAGGCCCTTTGGAAGCAGGAAACAACTTGTTTCCTTACTTCTGGTGGGTCCATAAGACCCGAAAATCAGTTGGCTGCGGCGTGCATGCACGCCGGAGCTGAGCTCCCGTGCCCACTGATATGGCTACATGTGCCACCTGTGGCACGCATGCCATAGGTTCACCATCACCGGTATAGGGCCTCCTGCTTGAGCACTGGGTTGGACCATAAGACCTCCAAAGTACCTTCCAACACTGTTATTCTGTTATTCTATTTCAGCAGGCATTCAAGGATCGATAGGGAATATGAATTTATTAGTGTATCGAATGCAAGGAAGCTGTTATGATTGTGTTCTCCTCTTGGATGTTGTTACTGTGGCATCAAATAGTGTATAATGTATTAAGTGCTGCTTTAACAATCTGCTTAGCTTAGCTTTTTTAATTGCAGTGGCATGAAAGCTCATTTAATAAGATAAATTTTCTTTAATTATGATGAACATCTCCCAACAAAAAGATGAATCATAGCCTGTTCTTTGTCTTCATCTTTTTTTCACAAAACAAACTTTAGCTCCCAGCATCTTCTAATAAACCTTCATCCTGGTGGGGAGCTGACTGGCCATCAGATGTTCAGAAACTGTTATTTCTTCAAACATCTACACTGCTTTGCAGAAATCTCTCCTTCCAAAGCTAGTTCTTCTTTGAATTTTCATTCAGAATGGGAACTGCTGGGCAGCCATCCAAATTTTGAGAAGTTGGATCAAAAGAGCCCTTCTTATTACAGGGGGGTGATGTTTTGCTAGAACGGGGACAGCTTCCACTTTGATTTGTTTCTATTCCTCCTGCTGTTCCTGGTATCTTTTCTCTTTCTGCCACAGCTTCAATATTTCTGTTCAAGCTAATACCACTTTACAATGCCTTGATAAGACCTCACCTGGAATACTGCATCCAGTTTTGATCAACATCATACAAAGAAGATGTTGAGACTATAGAAAGAGTAGAGAGAAAAGCAACAAAGCTGATTAGGGGACTGAGGCTAAGACCAACGGTTGCAGGAATTGAATATGTCTAATATAATGAAAAGAAGGACTAGGGGGGACATGGTGTTCCAATATTTGAGGGACTATCACAGAGAGGAGGGCGTCAACCTGTTTTCCAAAGGACCTGAAGGCAGGACAAGAAGCAATGGATGGAAACTGATCAAGGAGAGATCCAACCTAGAATTAAGGAGAAATTTCCTGACAGTGAGAACAATTAATCATTGGAATGACTTGTCTTCAGAAATTGTGGGTGCTCCATCACTGGAAGTTTCAAGAAGAGACAAGACAGCCATTTCTCCAGAATTGTATAGTGTCTCCGGCTTGAATAGGGGGTTGGACTAGAAGACCTCCAAAGTCTCTTCCAACTCTGTTATTCTGTTATTTTGGTACAGGCAGTTCAGAGATAAAGAATGAATAGTAGCTCTGATCTTTCCAGGAGGTTGTTCTGGTCATTTAGAAGAAATCTCATTTGTCTAAGTTAAGAACATGGTAGTTGTATTGTGTTTTTCTAAGAGAAATATGTGTTTATTATTTCATGCTAATGCATCATATAGAGAAGTTCAAGTTTCATTCCGGAGGTCTTTCTTCACTGTTTTGCCCTCCTTCATTTTTTTTTTAGCAATCATTGGGGAGGAAGGCAGTCATATATGTTAGCAGAAACTATACATTGTTTTGCCTGGATAAGGATAATGTATGGAAATTAAAAGGCGGTGGTAGGTCTAAAATTGTTTCATCCAAAAAGTCATTTGAATCTTCTCCTGTCTCTGTGATGTTTATGGAACTGGTTCTTTTTGCTGTAATAGCTTGGTTAAAAAGAAATCACGAAAACACACAGAGGAAATGGGTATTTATACTCGCATAAATATAGTGCACTCTATAGCCCCTGCAACATTTATAGAGGATTAGTGTAGGTGTTGTGTCGAGCTGTGGTGATTTACACTCTTCAAATGAAATGCAAGTGTAGGAGAGATGTGTGTTGCGTGAGGATGTAAACACAATCCTTCATTCAGATTCATGATCGTGGATGGGAAAACATTTGTAAAGTTTACCTCTAAGCTACCAGTCGGCAGGTCATGAGGCAAGAATAAAATTAACTATCCATATAATATACCCTGTTTTCCCGAAAATAAGACCCAACCGGAAAACAAGGCCTCACATTATTTTTCAGGATGCTCGTAATATAAACCCTACCCCCAAAATAAGCCCCAGTTAAGATTGTCAGCCAGATGGTGCTGTTGTGGCCCGCCAGTGGCCTGTGCGGATTGTGGCTGATCCCGACGACGAGGAGGCTAGTGTGTCGCGCCAGCAGCCTGTGCAGCTGGCGCTCATGTCGGACAGCAAGGAGGCTGAAGAGGATGTGGTGCCAGAGGCAGAGACTCAGCCAGGGCCTTCAGAACCTCCAGAGGCTCCTTCAGAGCCTTGGTAGTACAGTGGTCTAAGGCACCCTGTTATTAAGCTGGTTATTAAGACCAGCTGCCTGCAATTACTGCAGATTCGAATCTTGCCAAGGCTCAAGGTTGACTCAGCCTTCCATCCTTTCTAAGGTAGGTGAGATGAGGACCCAGTTTGTGGGGGCAATAAGCTGACTTTGTTTAAATATACAAAAGAATGAAGGCTATTGCTTAGCACATTGTAAGCCGCCCTGAGTCTCTGGAGAAGGGCGGCATATAAATAAAAAAAATTAAAAAAAAAAAGTGGAGAGAGCGAAGTGGAGGAGCCTCTTCTCAATGCTCGAGCACACAGAGCTGCCAAAAGGCAGGAGTGGCTACTCAGGAGGAGGAGGTCTCCTAGAGAGTAAGGCTTGAGGATAATTGGCCACTCCCTTAGCCTATTTAAGTCACACACTGTTAATAAGTTTCTTGCTGGAAACAACTTGTAATTATCATCAGAGCATTTTTGGAAAAGTCTTATCGTATCTAGTTTTCTGGGCTGGTTGCCAACCTTTGCTGGACTTTGGTTTATTCTTGCTACTTAATAAATTTGATAAGGACTGTTGGTGTGTGTCAATATCCTCGGGAATCCGGAGCTGGGGCAGAACAGGTGCATTTAGTACCACATTTCCCCAAAAATAAGACCTAACCGGAAAATAAGCCCCAATGTGTCTTTTGGAGCAAAAATTAATATAAGACCCAGTCTTACTTTCGGGGAAACATGGTAGTAAAGTTTTAGGACAGGATTATGGGCAGGGGTGAAATCCAGCAGGTTCTGACAGGTTCTGGAGAACTGGTAGCGGAAATTTTGAGCAGTTCGGAGAATCGGTAGCGGAAATTTTGAGTAGTTTGGAGAACCAACAAATACCCACCTCTGGCTGGCCTCAGAGTGGGGTGGAAATGGAGATTTTACAATATCCTTCCCTGAGGAGTGGGGAGGGAATGGGGATTTTGCTGTATCCTTCCCCTGCCATGCCCACCAAGCCACACCACGCCCACCAAGCCATGCCCACAGAAAAGGTAGTAAAAAAAATGGATTTCACCACTGGTTATGGGTGAGTAGTGAGTGCAAATAGCCACTTAACATCCAGTGAAAATCAGTTGTGAGCCAGGATTATTATATGGACTGTTTTAAATGCAGCTGACTTCAGGGGAACAATTAGATCGTTTCATAAAGTCCAGAATGCCTCATTTTGAAATCAAAAGTGGAAATCCTAGACTTTCTTGTTTAAGAAAGTTGCCTCTTTTAAAAAAGCGTCTTTGGGATAACCATGGTCTGGATGACTGAGAATCTCCATAGACAAAAGTAGAAATTGAGTAGATTTCTTAATTTTAAATATATAATAAGCTAAATGCTATATATATATATAGTGACAATGAGATGGATTATCATTCTGGAATCTTCTCGGGATCCTGAGGAACTCTGCTTTATGTCTGT